TTTTTTTTTTTTTTTTTTTTTTTTTTTTTTTTTTCCAGTATTTCTGTATTTTTGTTTTTGTTTTTTAAATATTTGAAGAATGGTGAATCTGTGCAACCGTCTGATCATTTTGTTTGTACATTTTGATTATCTACAGCTAATCAGGTTTTTTATTTTCCTTTCCGTGTTTTTTCAATTACAGTCTTTCACCCGATTGGCTGAATTAGTCTTACAAGCCAATAAGAAGGATCTTGATTTGTTGGGAGGATCCATGAATGACCAGTTCAATCTCGCTGTTTTGGAGGAGCAGGAAGGATTGTGTAATGTTAGCGACGGCACCCATAAGTCCTGTTGGTGCTGAGGACAGGAAGTGACATGACTACTTTTTTCAGTTGATTTCCATATTTATGTTACATTTACATTTTGAATATTATTTATTGGAACATTCTTGTTAAACAGTGTTTGGTGCCTTTAATGGCATTATTTCCTGCTGATTCTCATGAATATTATTTATTATTCATTATTTATTTTATAGTTACTATAAATTAAGATGGAACATTACAGAATACTTGTATATTAAGAATATGTTTCAGTTTTTTCGAGATCAAAAGGGCACTGCAGTGTAATTGTACATTATTTAGTTATGCTCATTCAAGCCACACATTCAGAGTCAGTCAGTTATATTCAATTTTACAAATATAAAAAAACAAGTTGATTAAAGTGTAAGACAACATTGATGAAATGGTTTATTCAAAGGAATAGTGCACCCAAAAATGAAAATGTGCTGAATATTTACTCACCCTCAGGCCATCCAGTATGTAGATGACTTTGTTTCTTCATCAGAACAAGGAGAAATTTAGCATTACTGTTTACTTTTAGCACCACTTGCTGACCAGTGGATCCTCTGCAGTGAATGGGTGCCGTCAGAATGAGAGTCCAAACAGCAGATAAAAACATCACAATAATCCACAAGTAATCAACACGACTCCAGTCCATCAATTAATGTCTTGTGAAGTGAAAAGCTGCGTTTATAAGAAACAAATCCATCATTAAGGTATTTTAACTTTAAACTAAAGTTCCATCTTACTGTTGTCTTCTCACAGCAAAATACACCAACACATTTGTTTAGAACTGTTTTGGACTGTTTTCTCTTGTGAACAGTGCTTGATCTGTGCATATTTCTCTCGATTCAGAGAAAGCAATATTATGGATAGTGTCTTGCTGGATTTGTTTATTACAAACATAGCTTTCCACTTCACAAGACATTAATTGGTGGACTACAGTCATGTGGATTATTGTGATGTTTTTATCAGCTGTTTAAACTCTCATTTTGACGGCGCCCATTCACTGCAGTGGATCCACAGTTGAGCGAGTGATGTAATGATAAAGCTCTCCAAATCTAATCCAATTAAAAAAAACAAATTCGTCTATATGAGTCATTGAATGACATGAGAGTAAATCTTAAGCAAATTTTCATTTTAGGGTGAACTGTTCCTTCAACATGGTTGTATGGCTGGAGCGCCTATGTTAACATATATTCTTTATTGTGGTTTGCTATGGGACTTCATGTGAATATATTCAGACCTGATTTGGCTTTCTATAATTTTTTTGAATACTAAAACCTTCAATGCACCAATGAATGCTCTTTCAAGGTTATACATTTATTCTTGAGTGATGAATTGATGAAGCTTCTCATGTCAGTGTAACAATACACGCTTCTTTTCTGTAAAAGCACTGTAAAAAAAACAACATGCTACTTACCAGTTCTGGTCCACTTTGATTGTAAAGGAATGCAATGGTTTTTATCTCATCAATCTGAGGTTATTGCTTAAAATTGACTCAAATATTATAATTTAATGTGGTATTTTACACCAATATTACATCAAGCTCTCTTTTTCAATCAATAATCACTATTTACCTGATTAGAATAGTTGGAATGTTTCAACTTTTACTCTATAAATGATTCTGGAATTGATGTGGTTTAACTTTCATAACAGCACACCGAATAATATTTTTCTCCTGCTTAAATCAACATCTTACCCATAGAACTTGAGTGAAATGTATGCAGACTGAACTGAACCAGCATTTGATGCCGATGTGCGTCGCTGCATTGACATGGGTTGTATTGCTAATGATTCAATGTATATTACACTGTTGCAGCATTTATATGTGCAAGTGGTATTGTACTATGTTGACTTAAATGAACTCTTGAATAATGCTGATATGTTTACCTGTCTTATCTGAGAAGTTGTTTCATGAAATATGTCCATGAAAAACATCTGAGAAATGTAAATGCGTATGTGGTTATTTATATATAAACTGTAATATTGTGATTCTGTTTAGGGGGTCAAGTAGTTACGAATAAACATCTAATTTTTTATTTTTTTTTAATGAGGAATTTGGAGATACAAGTCTCTGTAAGTGCAACACCACAAGTGAACACCAGGAGGCAGTTGTGCAAAGCTGAAATCCGTGTACTGAAATGTAGTTATGCATCATAAAACACACTTGGGGGTAACAACAGGGGAAGAAGAATGTGTTTGCGGTTTTATGTAATGCTCCGAACTGGGAAATATCCTTCAGCATTTGTGAAGTATTTTGATAATGAAGTCAGCTCATTTGCTTAATTTTATCAAGGTCATGATGGGTTTTTTTTTCTTCTCAGAACAAGAATTTGTTCCTTGATGCAACTGATTATTAATGGTACTTTAAAAATACTCTGAAACAATATTCTGCTTGTGCATTTTGTAGCAAAGCAGATCCTTCTCTCAAGGCCGTACACAGCTGGATGAAGCTTGGACAGAGAGAGCACTGATTTAAGCACATTTTGTGGCACAAGCTCATGTTTGCAGCTAATTTGTAAGTAATACGCATAAATCAATGCAACAATTACAGTGTAAATATATTACACAATAAAATTATCTAAATGTTATGATCTAACTACATTCCCTATTCTATTTCTTCTGTTTAATATATTGGTAGCACTTTACAATAAGGTTCCATTTGGTAACACAGTTAACTACATTAGTTAACATAAAATAACAATGAAAAATACTTCCAAGGCATTTATTAATCTTAGTTAATCGTTAATTTCAGCATTTACAATAGATTATGTAAATCAACAGTTTTCTTTTTTATATTATTTAATAGACCTGAGCTAACATGAACTAAACAATTGTGAGCAAGTGTCCATACTATGAATGGAACTTTAATTGCATGGAACGAATACACTACAATATATTTTCTATTCTGTTCTACAGAAGAAAGTAAGTCATACAGGCTTGGAATGACATGAGGGTGAATAAATAATGACAGGATTTTCATTTTTGGGTGAACTGTCTGTGTGCAAAAGGCAATATTTTTTGTCACCCCACACTCTCAAATGACAATGACTGATGTAAAATAGTAATGCAATATTTCACATTCATGTGCATCTATTACAACAACAAACATTTATCTTCATTAATATTGTTGGAGCCTGTTTGGTTCACATGAACGCACAAATGTTTTCATATTCTACTAAAAGGCTCATTGATTTGCCTAACTCTGCTATTTTCCTTTTATACAAATACTTCATTTAAATGTGTATTGTGTGCAGAGGATGCATTTGTAAAGTTTGTAAATCTATTCAGGTGTCACAATGTGTTCTGTTGACGATGGCTCTATATTATGTGTCATCTCTGAGAGACAGAGTGGGCCAAGTGAAAGATCTCCCTATAGTGTTGCTAATGAAAAGTCTGAGCTGAATAATCTGACTTTTTACATCTCACAAGGTCTCATCGACTGTCTAATTGCATGAGGGACCTCAAGCCCTGACACGACATGATGAAGTATCAAGATGTTAAAAAAATGAAGGGCTAACTTAGATAATATAATGACAGTTATCATGTAAGAACAGCCAAAGTCTGAAGATTACATGAGAACACATTTGGCTCACATTCTTGAGTAGATCCAGCTACTGTAGATTTGATCTTTTTTTCTCCATCCCCATTGTCAGTATTCTGAGGTTTGGATCCGGGATCAAGCTAATTTTGGAAGACAGGGAGAGCTTCAAAAACAGCCCTTAGCACCCCTCAGATTTCCTTTCCTAGATAATCCTGTCATGCCATAATCAAATGCTTCCATCCTATTGGCTCTCACCTATCCTCTTTTAATCAGTGATTTGCTCAGAACAAAAGCTTGCCAGGCATTGAGAGAATTAAACCAATGCATCCTAAAGAGAGAGACAAAGAGAGAAACAAGATGTGCTTTAGTATTATTTTTGGGGTGCATGCGCATGCAGCGGGGGCGTTTGGTGAGGAGAGGGGGGGTCCAGCTTCAGGACACTTCTGCTAAGCACTGTGTTGTCATCCTCCCACCTCGCCACACTGTGCTTTCACACCAGAGTGAGTCACGCTGGCTCTCTGAGCTCTGGAGGTGCGCAATGTGGAATGCTAAGCACCCTGAGAGAACTTCACAGCATTCAGACTCTTTCTACTCTGCCTTCTCATCCCTCCTTTATACCTGCTTGAAGATGATGAAAAAGGCTGAGAGAAGGCTACTTGATCTTGAACTAAATGTACATTTGGTGTTATTGGTTTACCTTACTGTTAGGCTGATATTTATTGCAATAAATGATCTATCTATCTATCTATACCAGGGGTGGCGAACGTCGGTCCTGGAGAGCCGCAGTCCTGCAGAGTTTTGCTTCAACCCTAATCAAACACACCTGAACATGCTAATCAAGGTCTGAAGGGTTACTAGGAAGCTACAGGCAGGTGAGTTTTAATTAGGGTTGGAGCTGAACTCTGCAGGGCTGCGGCTCTCCAGGACCGGAGTTCGCCACCCCTGATCTATACCTAAACATTATATATAATGCGCAATATGTATTGTAAAAATATATAACATCATTTATTCAGTATACATTTTGCCACACACACACACACACACACACACACACACACACACACACACACACACACACACACACACATATATATATAATTAAATATATACATATTTTGTTCAGTAATGAATATGATAAATATATATTACAAAATTCAAATACGATTTACATTTTACATGAGCTGTCAAACATTATATGAAAACCACTTGAAATCCTATTTTGTAGAATTATAAATTTTCCTTTTTGATAACTCCACAGATGAAGAAATAAAACAAATGTACCACACACACACACACACACACACACACACACACACACACACACACACACACACACACACATATATATATAATTGAAAATATACATATTTTGTTCAGTAATGAATATGATAAATATATATTACAAAATTCAAATACGATTTACATTTTACATGAGCTGTCAAACATTATATGAAAACCACTTGAAATCCTATTTTGTAGAATTATAAATTTTCCTTTTTGATAACTCCACAGATGAAGAAATAAAACAAATGTACTTTTTCAGTGGGTTAAACACTGAATGTGCCTGTGTGGTTTTCGGCCTGGAGTCAGTTGGGAAGCATCCAGGGAAGTGCCTTAGGATATTGACTGAGTCATTGTGAATTGCAGAGCACCAGAAGAAACGTTCAGCACGGATATCTCCAATTTCATAGTCCACACCGCATTATGTGCACTGAGCATCTATGAAAATATAATCATGATTTCTTAATGCAACTGCAATTACTAACTTGCATTAGGACTTTATGCTTCTCTGAGGGAAATGCTAATAAAGTCTTGGAACACACATGGTGAATATAACTGACAGTCATTAATCTCTCTCTGTGGGCATTTGGTAATTACTTTTGCTGATTCTATCAATATAATAACACAAATATGAACAATAAACAACATGGGCTATCTTAATTGTATGCTACATTATGTTAATCACTTAGACTAACTAGTGCATCAGCCATTTTGAAGGCCTCACTACACTGTGCTTCTCATTGGGTCACACAAAGACCCTGTGTACTCAGCAACAACTTGTCACCTTTCTGCATGTCATTCTGTATTAGTGTATCTGCATCGCTTGAGTGGAGCTAAATGAATGGGACCATTCTTCCTGTTCCCCTAGCATCCCTGACAAGACATTCCTTTGTGAAGTCATACATGCATTTGTGTGGTCAACATGTAGGGGGCATCAAGTATTGATCGCACAAATGGGACAAAGACATTCCTAAATAATTTAGAAGAAATGGTCAGATGGTAGCAACCTGTTCGACATTATGATTTCTGTTTGTGCACTGTGATTATAATCCTTGCAAACTCCCTCTTTTTCTTTTTTTTCTCTCTCTACCTGAAATTTAGCAGCTGTGTTAATTCTCAAGAACAGCGTGTTGTTTGTTAATGGAGCTTCTCACAAAAGAGTATGCATGGAATCTAGTGCACTCATTTCATAGAGATTAACCTCCTCCCATGTGTTCAATGAGGACATTACATTTTGGATTGTATGTGCTCTTTATTAATATTATTTTTTTTAGTTACATTTAAGCATGCACCTTATATCATTTACATACTATATAACACCAGTTAGTGGTCACTGACAACAAAAGAAAAAGAAAGGTTACTATGGCAAGTTATCAGAGCCTTAACCATAAACAATAGCTAGTGTATTGTCGTAGACAAGTAGTAAGAATAGAATAGAAATAGAATAGAGAGTGCAAATGACAGAGGGTCAAGTGTTTTTTAATAGAAGACAAGTAGTAAGAATACAAATAGAATAGAGAGTGCTAGAGTTGGGTTAGAATAGTCATCCACTGCTGAATGAAATTATAGACATAAAACTGGCAGTTTGTGTAAAACATAGGATAAAATGCCTTTGATTTGGGTTTATATTCAGAGATTTTTTGATGGTAAAGACAACGTGTGATGGTATTGATTTTAATAAGGACTATTGTCTAAAAATACACATTTCTTGTTTTTCACACACTATTTGCTGCTGGTGTTTACAGTTCTTAGGCACTATTTGGTAACAAATAGCAAAGAACATTTAAAAATGTTCAACTGGATAAACTGGAGAAGGTTTGGCAAATGAGGTAAAACACTAACTGTTCTTACTAGTAATCAAGTGTTAACCATTATGCTTAGAATAAAACATGTCTCAAATGCTACCCAAATAACAAGACACAGGTTTAGCAAAGCACATGTTGTAGCCTACAGGTCAACCCTGCTACTCTTGTCCAAGACAACAAAATACCAGTCGCGTGATAACCGTGCAGCACATAAATTGCGCTGTTGCTACGGCAACCCTGTCCGTAGGGGGCCCATTCCCAGAGATACAAATCACGCTCCCCTCTAGCTGCTCTCAGCTATCGCGAGATTCCTTTAAGCGAAGCCAAGTGACCTCATCAGCAGCTGCAGCGCGAGTCGGAGCTGCAACTTTTGTATGAACTTCGAAGTTGAATAATTGTGAACGAGACGCTTGGCCAACGGTGCTGCTGCTGGAGTAGATACAACGATACAGTCAAAATTCTCCCGCGACACACTGGAAAACAGCAGGAATAAGGGCCGCACATAGACTGCACTCAGCGGGCGATTATTACGAGGCGGAGAGACGCTCGTGTCGGACTTTTATCGGAAGATTTTGTGGGAGAAGAAGAGACCGCACGAGAGCAGCGAGAGCTGGAGAGGGAAGAAGGTGAGTTCGTAAGATGTCTGTGATTTAACTGTGCATGCCAACTCCGGACCGTGCTTTTATATCTGTAAAGGTGGTCCACTATGGTTATTTCGAAGAAAGCGTGTCTTTGTACGCGCTAAAATGCTCGTTTTATCTCTCGAGCGTGTTGCGACGGTGAACGCATGATCTCGACTCACCTGATCATCAGAGGAAAGCAAGATTCGATCAGAAAGTTGCAGTGAACGCGACCATATTTTGATAAACTGATAGCAGTCGGAATGTAAACCCGTAGTCCTATGTGTCGTGCTTATTTGGTCTCAATCTGATAAACAAGACGGCGCAAGGTGGAAATGGTGCGGCTGTAACGTTAGTTGAAGAGTTTTGGTCTTAACTCCAGATGTGGGAAGATCACACAAACACGGCCGATTACAGCTGACAGCCCAGCAACTTCATCAACGTGGATTGTGCATGGCACGTTTAGTCATCATTGCATCAGTCAAGAAGGGAATTTAATCATATGGATTGCAATAATATGGACTCCGGTGTTTTTCCTTATTAAGCGGGGTGTTACCTGGTTAAGGTTCACTGGTAAATAATTCAGAGATAGGCTACTTTGTAACACTTGAATTCTTGCTTGTGAGCACGTCTTTTTAGTTCTTATGACCCTGGAAAATTGCAGTGAAATTTTAGTGTGATTTCGAGGCCTGGAAAAGTAATGGAAATAATGTAATGTAATTTTTTTTCTAGCCAAGCCAATATACATTTCTTCATGTAGTTGATGCTTTTTTAAGTGCAATCTCTATAGGATTCATTTTAAAAATCCTTATTAATCACTAATGATCTGAGAAGTTTTGAATCTATCTATCATCTATCTATCTATTTGAGAACAAAGGCTGTGTCTCAAACTAGTCAGCTGCCTACCTAGCAGCATTTTTGGCCATCACAGGCTCATTCCGGACGCTATCTATGGAATTGAATATCTATAGAATCCATGCATTAGCTGAGAATTATATCAGGCGTCCAACTGGAGGAGTCACTGGGCTGTAGATTGCATTGCATTTGTTATGCATAACATTTTGTCACATCAAAATTGTGAGGTCTGTGTTGTAGGTTGACTAATGGCCCTTCACTCTCCCTGTTTTCTCCCTGTAAGGGCTTTGCTGATTTGTCATTTGCATGTCTTTTCTTCTTTGTGTGGGTGGTGTGTCCTCACTGTGTATTGGCCAGGCTCTAAATGCAGTTTGTCTGGGGGTGGATTTGAAGAGCAGGTCCCCGATTTAAGTGCTTTCGAGCATTCCCTTTTTAACTTTAGATGTAGGGCTGCACGATAAATCGAAATGGAATCGAGATCGCGATTCGACAGAAGCTGCGATTGTCATGCATATCTTTCAGTGAAGCACAGTTCTGTGATCAGCAGTAAATCTCCATCCAAAGGTCAGAGGGCGCTCTTGCGCTGAAACGCCAAATACGCCTCGCAGAAGAAACCCAGGAAATGCCTATAGCGGTAGCTGGATAAACAGAAGATTCAGCTGCTTTCATTGATTCAACGTGACTAATAAACACACGACTACGGCAATATACGGTTTATCTGAGTTCTTATTATTATAATTGATTAAAATAAAGTATATTTGTAATGCAATGCCTTTATCACTGCTTAAATACTATGAAATATGTTGCGTGTAGGCATGGGACGATAACCGGTTTCACGGTATACCGCGGTTTTGAAAAGTCACGGTTTCTAAACCACAAAAATTTTCCGTTATACCGTTCCTGCGGTATGCGCAGTTTTTTTACGTGTCGTCAAAGACTGAAAGTGCAGGACTCCCTCAGTTGTGTTCAGCGAAGAGCGTAGCGAGTCACACGACCCCTCCCCCTCAGCCCTTCCGGTTGGTGCGAGCGGAGTCACCTGTGTGTGGGATGGCCGAAGGAGATGAATCCCTGGAACCCCTGTCGAAAAAGACGAAGTCTGTCGTATGGGAATTTTTCGGGTAACGTAGACTAACCATGTTCTGTACACAATGATGTTCCGTACAGATGACATTTTAGTGCCTATTGCTAAATAAATACTTCCAAGTCGAACATAAACTATATATCCGTGTCATCTTCGGTTTTCTCCCTCTTTCACCCCCGATCAAGACAGAGACCCGCCCGCCGTTTGTTTCAGTGTTGAAATAAATACTATTTAGCTTGCTACCGAGGCAGATAGCATGGCTAATTAACTAGCTAACGTCAACTGGTTTCCTCCCTCACGTTACTTCACAGTGAGGAATAGCAGTCTAAAGTACGTACTGTAGCCTACTTTTCTGCGATTTAGTACAATAATTAAATTTAACTGGTATCACGTCTATACTTTTGAGCCTCCTGCCATTGTTTACATCTGTTCAAAATCACGCATTTAAAAAACAAAACAAAAAAACTTTGCCACTGTTTGAGCGTTGTACAGAGAGACTGCGCGAAAGATGAATGTGTAGAAAGCGAGCATGTCTCCAAAAACCTTGTTGAGCTGCAGATTTATGCATGCATGCATTTATTTATTTTTTTACAGAAATTGTTTTGATTATATTTTTGATTATTGAGCTGCAGGTTTAGGCTCACTTAAGTGACTGCATTTTTAAATTTTATTTATAGGGATTTTTTTTTTACAGAATATAATTTATGTTCTGATTATTGTTGAGCTGCAGGTTTAGGATCATTTAAGTGACTGCATTTAATTAAGAAGAATTTAATTATTTATTCTAATTATTTAGCCTGACATGTTTACTGTTCCAAAATGTTCTTATATGTTTCTTAAAAATAAAATGTGTTCAGTGGAAGAAAAAAAAGCTGTTGTTTTTTACCCAGACATTTAAAAATAACACATTTTAGAGCTGTAATCGCAATACCGTGATATTTTTATCTAAGGTTATCACTCCGTCAGAATCTCATACCGACGCATGCCTAGTCATTTATATCCTTTATTGTCATTACACTGCCACGTCACTTAATAGGAGGTCAAACAACAAGTGGGAATTTGTACAATTGTATGTTTTCCTTGTCTTGTTGCAAATAAAGTCTCTAGTTTTAGCTTTAAAATGATTAACACCTATTTATTATTATATGAATGTAACCACTCCACTATTTTTGAAAATAGGCTCATTTTCCAACTCCCCTAGAGTTAAACAGTAGAGTTTTACCGTTTTCGAATCCATTCAGCCGATCTCCGGGTCTGACGGTAGCACTTTTAGCTGTAGCTTAGCATAGATCATTGAATCTGATTAGACC